GGGGAGTGATTTCATATGATTCAAGTGCATTACATTTACTGTGTACTTTATTTCTATTATTACATAATCACCGTAATGTAGGATTAGTAGAAACCCTGAGCTTGTTTTCATGCAACTAGACAATCCCATATAGTGGTGATGGGAGACAGTGACAGATCATCAGGCATTAGTTCTCACAAGGAGCATGCAACCCAGACCCTCACATACTCAGTTCACAATAGGGTTCATGCTTCTATGAGAATCTAATGCTTTCACTTTTCTGAGAGGAGGCAGAGCTCAGGTGGTAATGCAAGCAATGGGGAAAAACTATAAATACAGATGAAGCTTTGCTTGCTTGCCACTACTCACTTCCTGCTGTGCGGCCCAGTTCCTAACAGGTCATAAACGGATACTGGTCTGTGGCCTGAGGTTGAAGATCCTGGCAATAGATAGTATTCTTGAGCTTTATTTTGTTATACAGTTAAATTATTGGAAATATTTTGATCTTTCAAAGGCTTATTTTTTTAAGCTTTTTTTTTTTTTTAAGGTGAGATCATAGCAGCATTAAATCTTGGGCTTATTTTTTCCATTATTGAGACAATACCCATCCCATAACTCTTCTTGGTGTCTATGAATTATGAGGTATTTCCTGCTAACTGTTAAGAACAAGAACTATTCCTGCCTTATGCAAGCTTCAGGGATTATTCCTTGTAATGCAGAGTTTCTCAACCTTAGAACTATCGACATTTAAGGGCTAGATAATTGTTTCTGGGGGCGAGGGAACTGTCTTGTATATGATCAGATGTTTAGGAGCATCCCTGGCCTCAATACAGTAGATGGCAGTAACATCCTTTAAATTGTGACAATCAAAAAATGTCTCCAGATATTGCCAGTGACTCCAAGGGAGTACAATTGCCCTCAGTTAAGAACCACTGCTCTAATCGTTTCTGGTAGGTTTCTTATATGATGCCATGGCTAAGGCTAAGGACTTTGCTCAGAACTCAAGGAAGACCTCCTTTAGATCTCCCAAATTCTGTATCTGCTACCCTTTCCTCTTCTATAGTCTTCCCTGGGAACTTTAGTTACTTTACCTCCCTGGATTCTCAACTCTGTTTTCTCAAATTAAGGAGACTGCTGAGTTTGCCTGTGTTTCTTTTTCCCCATCACAGCCTGGAAACTCTAGGCTGTAATGCTGGGGCAATCATAGGCTCACATTATTTCCTGTCTCTCAGTGATCTCTGTCCTTTGTTGCTTGATGTCCAGCATCTTTGAAAACTATTGTTTTATTATCCTTTATTTTTATTTACTTTTAGTTTTTAGATTTTTTCAGGTGGGTTCCTGTTAACCTCATCTTGGTCCTCATCTTATTCTTGAAAGATACTTTTATTGGATGCACAATTCTGGACTGGCTTTTATTTTTTCTAAGCACTTTGAAAGTATTTGAAATGTATTCTGGTGTCTAATGCTGTAATCAGCTGTCAATCAATTTCCTTCTTTCCTTTCTGATGATCTGTCTTTTTTGCTCTGAGTACTTTTAAGATCTTCTCTTTGCCTTTGCCATTTTGCAGTTCTATGACGTATTAAGCATAGGTTTCTTTTTATTTTTCCTTGTTCCTAAAGGGTATATTGGGCTTTCTGAACTTTTAGAGTCTTTCTCTCATCAGTTATCAAAACTTTGCAGCCATTATCCTCTCAGGTATTTTATCATCTTGATTTTGTTTATTTTTTCCCCTTTGAAACTATTGCAGCATACAAAAAGCATGAACCACAAAGGAAAAAGAAATTAATTACGCTCATTAAAATTAGGATCCTTTATTGAACAAAAATCACCAAGAAGGAGAGTGAAAGGACAAGCTACCAAAAGGGAGGATGTATTTGTAGTACATATAACTGACAGAGACTTGGGTCCATTATATTATAAAGAGTTCTTATAAATTAATGAGAAAAAGACAGATGCAGTAGAAAAACATGCAAATATCTTGAGGAGGCAGCTCACAAAGAGACACACATGCCCAATAAACACTAAAGCGTTTCAGTCTCATTCATTATAAGGCAAATGAACATTTCAACCACAGAATATACTATACACTCAGAATGGCCAAATTTAAACTAATAATGTAAAATATTTAGGATCATGTTAGACAGCTAGAAATCACATATGTTGTTGGTGGAAGTGTAATTGAAAAACACTACTAACATTGAGTGTACTACTATATAACCCATGACCCAGACATTCTACTCTTAAAATGCTTAACAAACATCATATATATATGAGAATCAAAGATATGAAATGTTTATGGCAGCATTATTATACTAGCTAAGAACTGAAAACAACCCAGATTCCCCTCAAAGGCATAATGGGTAAAGAAACTGTAAGATATTTATATGTTGGAAAACTATATAACAATGAAAAATGAATTACTTCTAACATCAGTAACAGCGTGGGTTAATTCCGCTAACTTAATATTAGGGAAAAAAGAATACACACTTGTAATTGTAATTCTATGATTTTCAAATAGAGGCAAAGATTGACACGTCGAGGGGTATAGAAAGCATGGTGACTAGGAAGGATCATAAGAGGGGCCACTGGAGTCTGGTTAATGTTGTATTTCTTGTTTGGGGGATGTTTATAGGGGCATATTCATTTTTGAAATTTTATACTATACACTATACATTTACGATTTGTACTTTTCGTATATATGTTATACTCAATTCAAAAGTTTGATTAAAAACAGATACTATTTGCCATTTTAGAGCTTCTGTTTCAGTAGACAGCAGATATGATATAAACATAAAATGCACATATGACTATAAATGATGGACATGTATAAAGGCAAAAAACAAGGTGCTATGGGATCGAGTCACCAGGGGATTTTCTTTTCTAGGATGTTTTGGCCAGACCTCTATGAGAAAGAGTTATTCAAGTTGAATGAGTAAGAGGCAATGTAAGATAAAGTTGGAGCAGTATGCAGGACTTTTAGGACATTCTGGAGAGTTTGGCCTTCAGCCCAAGATTGATGAGCAACTTTAGAAGGGCTATTAAGGGGCCGGGCGTGGTGGCTCAAGCCTGTAATCCCAGCACTTTGGGAGGCCGAGGTGGGTGGATCACGAGGTCAAGAGATCGAGACCATCCTGGTCAACATGGTGAAACCCCGTCTCTACTAAAAGTACAAAAAATTAGCTGGGCATGGTGGCGCGTGCCTGTAGTCCCAGCTACTCAGGAGGCTGAGGCAGGAGAATTGCCTGAATCCAGGAGGCGGAGGTTGCGGTAGGCCGAGATTGTGCCATTGCACTCCAGCCTGGGTAACAAGAGCGAAACTCCGTCTCAAAAAAAAAAAAAAAAAAAAAAGAAGGGCTATTAAGGGGCTAGTTATGTTTTAAAAATAATCACTATCACTACACTGTGAATTGTTGACTTGAAAATGTGCCTGAGTTGAATGCCACTGGACAGGCAAAAAATTATGCATCCATGATCTAGACCAGGGACTTGCTAGCTTTTTTTTTTTTTTTTATTTTTTAAGACAGTCTCACTCTGTCACCCAGGCTGGAGTGCAGTGGTGCAATCTCGGCTCATTACAACCTCCACCTCCTGGGTCCAAGCAATTCTCCCACCTTAGCCACCCAAGTAGTTGGGACTATAGGCATGTGCCACCATGCCCGGCTAATTTTTTGTATTTTTAGTAGCGATAGGGTTTCACTGTGTTAGCCAGGATGGTCTCAATCTCCTGACCTTGTGATTTGTCCACCTCGGCCTCCCAAAGTGCTGGGATTACGCCTGCCAACTTTTTATGTAAAAAGTGGATATTCCACCTACCAAACTTTGCCCTTGTAGCAGGACAGCAGCCATAGACAATGTATAAATGAATGAGCATGGCTGCGTTCCAGTAAAACCTGATTTACAAAGTAGATGTTGTAGTTTACCAATCTCTGATCTAGAGTAAAGAAAAGAAAATTTTTAGATATATAGCAGATTTAATAGGATATGGACCAGGTACAGTGGTTCATGCCTGTAATCCCAGTGCTTTGGGAGGCTGAGTGGGAGGATTGCTTGAGGCCATGAGTTTGAGACCAGCATAGTGAGACCCCATTCATACAGAAAATTAAAAAAATTAGCTGGACTTTAGGGCATGCATTTGTAATCCTGGCTACTCAGGAGGCTGGGGAAGTAGGATTGCTTGAACCCAGGAGTTTGAGGTTGCAGTGAGCTATGATACCACCACTGAACTGCAGCCTGCACAACAGAGCAAGACTTTGTGTCTAAAAAACAGTTTTTAAAAAATGGTATATGTATTGGATGTTGAAAATATCAGTAAGAGGAGACGATTCAAGGATGATTTCTATGCTTTTGGCTTGAGTAATTTATGAATAGTGTTGCTTATTAGGGGTCAAGTTCATTGAAAGTCCAAAACCCATTCATCTAAAATAGTGAATAGTGACATGTCAAAGTTCCAGTGTTCCCCTCATTTTTGGTCTAGAATTACTTTTATTCTTTTATACACATAGTAGTCAGCAATTACACAAACAATTAAAGTGAGGGGGAAAAAAAGAATCCATCGTAGTGATCATTGTTATGTTTTCTGCTAATAGGAGAAAAAATAGTAGAAAAGAAAAAAATGTAGAATATTCTCAGACTCTCATTGACAATGCATCTTTAGCCCTCATGTTCTTTCTTCCTCCAAAGATAACACCCCCTGCAGTCTTGCTCCAAATTGCTACCCCTATAAGGATAAACCAGAGAATGTACAGGTTAGAGGAGATTATATGTTGAATCTTTACATAGATTAGTGACACTGGGAACAGAGGTGGCTGCTAAGTAAAGCTACCATCTGCTCTATGTGCAAGTACTGTTTCCCATTCAATTTGTAAGAGGCACTTGTTACAAAAAAAAGTGGTAATTGCCTTATTACCACTACTATGTCAAAACTGTAATGCTGTTTTGATTTTCTTTATAGTTTGATGTGTTTAAAATTTTATATATTTATACACACGTATATATTTAAATAAACCTTTGAATGTTACAGGCTTTGCTCTCTGTACATGATACTGTGGCTCAGAAGAATTATGATCCTGTGTTGCCTCCTATGCCTGAAGACATTGATGATGAGGAAGACTCAGTAAAAATAATCCGACTGGTCAAAAATAGAGAACCACTGGTGAGTTCTGATGCTCAGATATGAGTCGGTGTCATGATAAAGCCAAATCTGATGGTGCATACCATGTATAACTCTTTAAAATATGCTTCCTCTGTGTTCTCAAACTATAAAAGAAATGGAACATTGATGTCTAAAGAGCATGCTTTTGAAAAACAAAAATGAAGCCAAATAAAATAATAGGCATTTATTGGCTACATTTAAATAGCAATGATTTTTTTTTTTTTTTTTTTTTTTTTGAGACAGGCAATTCTCCTGCCTCAGCCTCCTGAGTAGCTGGGATTACAGGCACGTGCCACCATGCCCAGCTAATTTTTTGTATTTTTAGTAGAGACGGGGTTTCACCATGTTGACCAGGATGGTCTCGATCTCTTGACCTCGTGATCCACCTGCCTCGGCCTCCCAAAGTGCTGGGATTAGAGGCGTAAGCCACCGCGCCCGGCCGATTTTTAAATATTGGAATATGAAATCAAATGAATAGAATTACTTGTCTTGAAATTTTTCTTATTCAAATATATAATTAGTGTATTATCTTTGCAATTATTGTTAAGGTAAAGTAAGATTATTGTGTGAACAAATTTAAAGTTCAAAAAATAAACTACCTAGAAAAATAGAAAATACTTTCAACAGATTTGTTATTTAACATCAGTTAAATGACATTTGTTAGTTTGGGGAGATTACTGGAGAAGCCACAAGACTGTCAAAGCAAAATGAAAAACACTCAGAGAGAAGATTAAGAGTCAAAGATATCTTTAGGAGAATGAGTCCCAGTCATGAGAATCAGAAGTAGGCAAAGTGTGGGAAGCTAAGCTGAAACAAAATTCTAACAAGTGGATGCTCAGGAAATGCTTGGCAAGTGATTCATGAAGAAAGGCTGTAACATTTGGCAACTAAGGTGTAGGTTACCAGTGTTATCTAAAAATGCAATTTTGTTTATTGGGATCCATAATGTGATGTCATGAATACTGAGCTTGCTTTGGATGACCTAAGTGGGAATTGGGATTCTGTCACTTTGTGCTGTATCCTACAGAGAAAACCCCTGACCATCTCAGCCTCAGGTTCCTTATCAGAAAATCAGGAAATATACCTCTTTGCAAGTATTTTTGAATATCAGCTAAGACATGACATGTTTGGAATGCTTTATGAATTCTGAAGCAATATGCAAGCATTATGTAAATATTAGAATAGTAAAGATAAAAGCTAGATTGCATCTGATCAAGGAGAGAATGGTTACCTCGGAGAACAGGCTGTGAACACAGGTCGTGTAGGTATTAGATAATGGATAGGAAAAAGGGTGATCACTTGAGGGACAAGATCCCTTGAAAAAAGTGTCTTAGATGTTCTTGGTGCAAGTTTTTTGGTAAATCACACTTTAAAAACACTTATTTCAAAGGCTCAGCCTGAAATTCACTGTGCCACCTACTTGAGGAGACCTGGCAATACTGGCAATTAATAGGAGATAAATTAGATAATTTTTTTTTTTGAGATGGAGTCTTGCTCTGTTGCCCAGGCTGGAGTGCAGTGGTGTGATCTTGGCTCATTGCAACCTCTGCCTCCTGGGTTCAAGCAATTCTATAGATCAATTTTTTTGGTGTACGGAAATTATGATAACTCAGTAAGCAGTCCCTTTTATAAAACATTTTACAGAAATAATAATTAACAAAAATCTAACCAGAATTTATTTTTTCAATCTAACTTGAAATTTTCCATGCTCAATTTTTAAACCAAAATCACACAGAATAAATTCAAAATAATTATGTAGGAAAATATGTCAGTTTTATCACATTAGATCCAATTTTAATTTATTTTACATTTGCAGACTATGGCATAGGATTGATGACTTACAGTATCACATGTAATGTGCTCTATGTTTTTGAGATTTGATAATATTTTCATGCAAATATGTTGCACTGGGAATACATCAAGCAATTGTGGTAAGAGAGGTTTGGAATGCAATGTGGAAATAGAAGTCTTTAAGAATGAAGGGTTCAAAATGAAGATTGATTCAAGCGGTAGTACTATGTAGAAAGTGGGAGATTGTTCTTCAGGTCTGTAGTTTACCCTCCAAGCAAAGTAGAGTCAGGGGATACAAGAACACTCTATTAGGGCACTTATCTCTGTCTATAATGAGACCCTTACACATCAGATTGCTTTGCTTTATCTACACATTCCAGAAGTGATTTTATCCTGCCTATGGCTTTAAAAAGCTTCTATGTGCCGGAGACTCCCAAGATTATTTATTTCTCTTCCAGTTCTTTCTTCTAATCCTTAAATTCATATATCCATCTGTCTATTCATTATCTCCATTTGGAGGTCTAATAGACATCTCAATTTTCATATATCTGAAAATAAACTGCTGATCTTTGTCCCCAAATCGGTTCTAGCCTTGTCTTAACCCCTTTTAGTTGATGGCAATTCCATCCTTCCAGCTGCTCAGCCAAAAGACATTGAGCCTGTCTTTAATCCCTCCCTTTCTTTTGCATTCCAGAGACAATCCATTGGGAAATCCTTTTTGACTCTACCAATAATATATCCAGATTCCTTTTCATCACCTCTACTCCTGCCAGTCAGATCTGTGCCACCATCATAATTCCCTTGAATTATTGTGCAGAGTGAGCATCCCAAATCTGAAGATCTGAAATCCAAAATGTGCCAAAATGTGAAACATTTTGAGTGCAGACACAAGCCCCAAGGGTATGGTCATTGGAGCTTTTTGGATTTCATATTCTTGGATTTGGGATGTTCAACCGATAAGAATGCAAATGTGCCCAAATCTGAAAAAATATGGAATCTGAAACATCTAAGCATTTCAGATAAGGAATTCCTAACATGCGTTAACCTCTCATTAATTTCATTGCTGTAGTACTTACCATCCTTCAACTCTTAACACAGTAGGTGGAGTGGTCCCTCTAGATTTTGTCCCTCCTGCTGTTCACAACCTTGCATGTTTCCTCTCTTTCATTCAGAGTAAAGCCCAGCATCCTCACAGTGACTCGTAAAGCACAGAAAGCACATAGCTGACTTCCTTCTACCTTTGACCTCTTCTCTTCTTGCTGCCCCTCTTCTACTGGGCTCCAACCACACTGGCTGCCTTGCTCTCCCTTGAGCATTTCATTCACGGCCCCCTTGGCACCTTGCATTGGCTGTGTCTTCTGTTCCTTCCCATTGGCTAACTTTTTCGCCTTTGTCCAGTCTATGTTCACTCAGATGTCATGTTCCCAGTGAGTCCTGTGTCTTCTCATTGTCTTTCCTCCACCTGCCCTGGCATCCTGGTCTTCTATTTCCTGCCCTACATCCCCTCACACCCCTACAGTATTTACCACCTGATATGGTTTGGCTCTGTGTCCCCGCCCAAACATCATCTTATAGCTCCCATAATAACCGTGTGTTGTGGGAGGGACCTAGTGGGAGATAACTGAATCATGGGGACAGGTCTTTCCTATGCTGTTCTCGTGATAGTGAATAAGTCTCACAAGATCTGATGGTTTCAAAAATGGGAGTTTCCCTGCGCAAATTTTATATTTACCTGCTGCCTTCCATGTAAGATGTAACTTGCTCCTCCTTGCCTTCCACCATGATTGTGAGGCCTCCCCAGCCACATGGAACTGTAAGTCCATTAAACCTCTTTCTTTTGTAAATTGCCCAGTCTTGGGTATGTCTTTATCAGCAGTGTGAAAACAGGCTAATCTACCACTGTAAAATGTATGCAATTATTCCCTCTCTTGTTTATGATCTTGTCTCCCCCATTAGGATGAGAAAACAGACATTTTTTCCTCAGCTTATTGTAAGCCCTCATTGAATACAGAAGAAACCCAAGGGGTGAGCATTAAGCACAACAAACAAAATAGCCCTATACTGAAAAACATCAAAATCCACAGTGGACAGAGATTGGTTCCACTTAACTAATTCTGTATTACAAACCACTCTTGTATGTTGTATCTAAAACAATATTATTTTGGGGGTTGATGAGCTCAGCTGGGAAGTTCTCACTTGGAGTTGCTCATGCATACAGTCAGATGGTGGTGGCCGGAGTCAACTGAGGGCTCTTTCATTTACACAGCTGTTACCTGGGCTTGGAGCTGGAAGGTTGGGGGCTGGCCAAGTATCTCTTTCTCTAAGTGACATCTTCACTTGGCTAGCTTGGGCTTCCTCATGGCATAGCCGTGGTCATGATTTTTACATGGCAGTGAGATGTTTCCAGAGGAGTGAATGGCAGCTACAGATCTTCTTATAGCCTTTGAAGCCTCAAAACCATTTTTAACACTTAATGTGGGAATATGACATGCAATTTCCCACAAAAGTAATGAACTCATGGATAGAATGAACTTAGGAATGCAAGGTTATGGGAAGATAGAGGTTAAGCCATACTGGATGATGATTAAGATGAATGTCCAGTGTCGCTGGTCAGATTGCCATAAACAAGTCCTGGATTTTCCATATACTAGTTGTCTGATCTTAGACAAATTATGGTCCTTTGATATTCAATTTCTCATCCAGAAACTATGGATAAGTAGAGTTAGATTACTAGGCTTTTCTGCCATTGGTCATATTTGGTGGGAAAATTTGAGACATATTATTAAGGAAAATGAAAGTTGATCTAATCAAACTAATTAATTATATTGAGAATATTACATTTCCAGTAGTTTTAGCAACAAGTTAGAAATTGAAGTAAAAGCAGAAAGTACCAATAATTGGTGAGTCTAAGGTTTATGACCATGGAGAGATGTTCATTCAAGCCTTTGGCTTTGAATGCGTGCATAGGTGATGGAAAATGCTGCAAAATGCCTGTCATTTAATTCTTTGATTTTTTTACTATTATTAGCTATGTATTTGATAGTTTCATATAAAGATACTTATTGCAGATGGACTATTACTTTGTTTACATATCTGTTCTTTAATGATGATATAAATGTGTTTACTGACAAACTTGAGAAAAATTCCACTTCTTTGGGATGAATTCTGCCACCACTGAAAAGCATACCTTTTTAGCAGTGTTATGCAATGTTGGATGGCTTTGCAAAACCAATGCCAGACTCTTAAAAGGAAAGTCATGGAAAGGCTTTCAAAGTAACCACTTGTGCCTGTCGTTCTTACAAAGCAGCAGTTAATTTGCTTCTGAGTATCTGTAAGTGGAGAATTTTTGGCTTCTTTTTGAGATTGTTTCCTAATCTTATGCCAGTACTTAGTTCTGTTTGTACTAGGTACAATCCTAGTTCACTAAAACCATGGAGTAAGAGCTCTTTCTTCTAATCATTTGTCTTAGACTTAGGCAACAAATATGACTAATTTCTGGGTTTTAACTTTTTTCTTTTTCTTTACAATTATCACCATTTTATTTTTTTTTTTGAGATGGAATCTTACTCTGTCACCCAGGCAAGAGTGCAATGGCATGATCTCAGTTCACAGCAACCTTTGCCTCCCAGTTCAAGGGATTCTGCTGTCTCAGCCTCCCTAGTAGCTGGGATTGCAGGCATCTGCCACCATGCCTGGCTAATTCGTATTTTTAGTAGAGACAGGGTTTCACAATGTTGACAAGGCTGGTCTCAAACTCCTGATTTCAGGTGATCTGCCTGTCTCAGTTTCCCAAAGTGCTGAGGTTACAAGCTTGAGCCACTGTGCCTGGCCTGTTTTTTTTTTTTTTTTTTTTTTTTAAACTTTGGTAACTGAGTGTGATAGAAGGATCACTGAACTGACTGAAAGTCAAATGACCTGGGTTTTAGTTTTCTAACATATAGAATCTTTTGTCTATTAGTATAATTATCACTATTCCACTTTCTTGATGGGATACTCTAAGGATAAAATGAAGTGCTTTAAAAGAGTAAAAACCAAACAGCATTCAAATACAAGGTATTTTTATAATGGAGAGAAGATACATTTATTTTACCCAATTTTGAAGAGGTCGAAGATTTCAAAAATCTTTAAATTGGGCTGAAACCCTTAGATGCTGTGTAGATAGAATTTCCTCTATCTAGTCATGAGAATAGATATTATAAGCCAAATGGTGTGATGTCTATTCTTCCTGCCTCATTTATTTTTTTTGTAGTTGTTTTCCCTTTTTTCAGATGAATGTCCTTATTTCCTCCCTTTTTCTAACACCCAGTACACACATTTACCCACAAATGCTTTTGCTTTTGTCTTAAAAGGGAGCTACAATTAAGAAGGATGAGCAGACTGGGGCGATCATTGTGGCCAGAATCATGAGAGGAGGAGCTGCAGATAGAAGTGGTGAGACTTTAAATGTTAATGGAATACAGACAAGTCACATATTTTGTGTGTAGCATTTCCAATAGATAACTAAGAGGATGATCATCTTTGGATCTAATACAGCAAAATAAGTAATATGATATTGTTCTCTGTGTTGAAATGTGAGAGCCTATTTAAATAAATGATAGATAAATATTACTCTCTGGTCTTCTTGTACACAAGCATCCAAAGCTATATTAAAACTTGTTTCTGTGCTTCTCAATTGAAAAGTACTGCTAAGAGCATGTAGCCTTTAAGATAAATAAACGTTGTTTTATAAGGATCAGATATCAGTGATGTGCACTTCTAGACAAAGACCAAGCTGCTGCTACCATTTCTTGTCCAGCATTACTATGTTGTGATCTTTGTGTCACTGCTGTGGAGAGGCATAGAGGCTGAAACCTGAGACATGTGAAGGTCTCCTTTCCAATCGTTAAGTGTATTAGCGCACCTGACAATGCTTTAGTTATGGAAACAACTGCAAATTACAGTTTCTGTTGTGGGTAACACTGCTAATTTACCAAATCTCCTATTTCTCAGGTCTTATTCACGTTGGTGATGAACTTAGGGAAGTGAATGGGATACCAGTTAAGGATAAAAGTCCTGAGGAAATAATACAGATTTTGGTAAGCTGTAAATTCCTTTTAAAGGTGCAATAAAAATAAAATTGAATCAGTATATTTCAGACTTTTAGACTTGGTTTGACATATACAGGATTTGGATTAAGCAGTGCACGGTTCGAACCCCAGCTCCATCACTTAATCCCTGTGTGTCCTTGGAAAATACCTTAATCTGTTCATCCCTCAGTGTTTTCATTTACAAAATGGGAATAAGAGGTAACTATCCATCTGGAGTGTTTTGAGGATTAAATGAGGTAGTATATATAAAGAGTTTTAGGGCTGAGTATAGTGGTTTATGCCTGTAATCCCAATCGCAGCACTTTGAGATCAGTGGTTCAAGACCAGCCTGGCCAACATGGTGAAACCTGTCTCTACTAAAGGAGCAACAACAACAAAAAATTAGCTGCACATGGTGGTGGGTGCCTGTAGTCCCAGCTATTTCAGACGTTGAGGCAGGAGAATTGCTTGAACCTGGGAGATGGAGGTTGCAGTGAGTTGAGATCAAGCCACTGCACTCCAGCCTGGGTCTCAAAAAAACAAACAAACAAAAAAAGCTTAGTGCCTGTCCTGAGTCTGACTTAACAGATGGCATCTACCCTGTGGTTGGTGATGCATTTATTTTTCTCCTCCTCCCATTGACACCACCATATTCTAGGCTGTGGATCATAGCAATACAAATTAGTCAAACTAATTTAGATGTTTTTTGAAATCTGATATTTGAATAAAATTATTTTAGGCCTTGGCAGTATTAATTCTAAGGTTCATTTGTGAGATAAAAGGAAGGGAAACTCTTTTATATATGAAAACGTACTGGAAACCTATAGCAACTAGAAGAGGTTTGAGTGTGTCTCAAAACAGATCTCTGTATAAATGAAAATTTAGTATATGGTTAAGGTGGTATTTTAAATCGGTGGGAAGACAGTGGAACCATTTCATAAATGGTATGAGGTTAATGACTCAGAAAACAATAAGGTCAATTTTTGTTTTACACAATACATAAAAATAAATTCCTGGCAAATTAAATACTTAAGTGCAAAATTATCACGAAAATTGCACAATAAAATGTAATATACAAGTTTTATAATTACAAGGTAGAAAAAGACTTTTTAACCTTGATATGAAAATCAAATAGAAAAATAACAGATGTGTCTACTCAAATTCAAAACTTTCTTTGCAGAAAAAAGGTGCCATAAAGAAACATAAAAGACAAATGAGATTGTAGGAAAAATATTTATATATATAATAAAAGGGTAATATTTCAGTATAGAGGGAGATGATAAAAATCAATAAGAAAAACATTTACAGAAAAATCAGGAGAGCATTTGGACAAATACTTTACAAAAGAAAACACAGATATCTGGAAAGCATCGGGTTACTTGAGGTTGGAAAGCTTGATGATGCTTAGAGTTGGTCAGGGTATAGGAAAATAGATATGTTTAATGATTTGGGGATGGAATAAATTATTAGTAGAACATTTTGAGATCTGAAACTATCAAAATTTTAAATGTGCATACCCTTTAATCAAGAAATTCAACTGTTGGAAATTAATCCTCAAGCAATAATTTGGTAAATGTGTATAAACAAAATATTTTAAAAACATTTGGAAACTACCAAGATAGTTGCATTGATCAGGTAATCATTCATCTATATGCTAGGTTATTGTGAGGCAATCACAATGAGAGATAGACCTATATGGCTTAGCAGTAATAATAATAACAATTGCTCACATAGATTGAGTTCTTTATAAATGACACTGTTATAAGGACCATAGATCCATTTAAAAAAAAAACAAATATAAAAACTAGAAAAATAAGAGGAGATTATAGAGAAGACTTTTGTTTTCTCTCTACCAATGCAATTCAGTATTACAGTATAAGAATACTTAATAAGATTTGTGAGTGCCTTTTATGATAAGCAATAGCAATGATATTGCTATTTCGAAATAAATCAACCCTTTATATTCTGTTATTCATGTATACAGAAACCCATTTTACTTAAGTTACTGTGTTGCACTAGAGCTGCCTTCTTAAGGGTTGCCAAAGCTGACTGCATGCACCATTTCCCAATTCAGCTTTCAGCAACTTCATGCTGGTGAATCGAAATTGGCTATAGTGAAAGTATTTCTACCATGGAAATTGACAGACAGTACATATCTTTCAAATGTGCCAAGTATTTAGTGCTTTTGTGGCGCATACAATTTGGCAGGAGTAACATATCTTAAGAAATAATTGCATAAATAATTAAATATGGCCACAGTAAATGCTAAAAAGAGAGAAACAGAAAATGACATGAGAGTATATTTAAAGAGAGATCTTGTCTGAGATAACAAAAGTTTGTGGGTGCTGGTACTTGCTTTAATGAAGTTAGACTAGATAATCATTTCGTCTTGCAATGAATCTCTCCATTTTACTCACCAGAATACAATAGATATAAATGTTCTTTATTGTTTTTTTCTGATAGGCATTGCCACTAATTGAATAATGTGTTTTATAACCACACTAGTGAACAATATAGGTGTTTTGTTCCCCAAAACATGGATGCTGACACTTAAATGTAACTGCCTGTACCATGCTGTACATTATTCCCTTTTTTTTTTTTTTTAAGAGAGCGTCTTGCTCTGTCGCCTAGACTGGAGTGCAGTTGTGCAATCACAGCTCACTGCAGCCTTGAACTCTTGGACTCAAGAGACCTTAGCCTCATCACCACACTCTGCTAATTTTTACTTTTTTTTGGTAGAGATTGGGGTTTTGCCGTATTTCCTGGAATAGTCTCGAACTCCTGTACTCAGGTGATCCTGCCACCTTGGTCTCCCAAAGTGCTGGGATTACAGGCATGAGCCACTGCACTCAGCCCTTTATACATGATCTATTCTAGTCATTTAATTCCGTGTTTATTTAAGGTGCTGTGCATATTTTGTGTGTTTCTATTTTGAGGAAACTTGGATGAGAATCTATTTAGTGACAGTTTGAAAGTACACAGGAAGTAAAAGTGGATTTAGGAGTTAATGTTTTTTAACTTACTCTACAAACTTCAGAGCTTTCTTTCTCACATTACAGGAATTTCTACAAAAACGGTTTCCTCCGTTTAGTCTATCTAAGAGTAGAAACCTCAAGCTTGTAAATTTTCAGATGCATTTCAGTTTCTACCTATTTTACCTTATTTTTCCTTGGCTCTGGTTTTCTTATAACTCTTTCTTTCATCTGATACCAGGCTCAGTCTCAGGGAGCAATTACGTTTAAGATTATACCCGGCATCAAAGAGGAGACGCCATCAAAAGAAGGCAAGGTAATCATTGCTTAAAAACATTTTTTGGGTGTGTGTGTGGGAGGGAAGTCGTGTTTTTCCATTAAACACATATCCACTTTGTCACAACGCATTTCTTTTAATATTCTAGTTTTAAAATTATTATGTTTTGAATCAGAGTTAGGGGAGAATATAGGGCATTTCTTGTATATTTTTTATCTTTATTCATCTTCAGTGAAACTTTTCTTCCAGATGTTTATCAAAGCCCTCTTTGACTATAATCCTAATGAGGATAAGGCAATTCCATGTAAGGAAGCTGGGCTTTCTTTCAAAAAGGGAGATATTCTTCAGATTATGAGCCAAGATGATGCAACTTGGTGGCAAGCAAAACACGAAGGTGATGCCAATCCCAGGGCAGGCTTGATCCCCTCAAAGCATTTCCAGGAAAGGTGAGCTACTGGTACATAATAATGGCTTTTCTCCAGCTGACCTTTTGTTCTCTGCAAAATATCATTCTAGCATTGATATGATAAAATATGCTATAAAACCTTGCCTTAGAATTTTTTATCCCTTGGGTTTGGATTTCTGTTTTGTCTAACTAAGTATGATGAATGACCAAAAATAATATGACAGTACCGGGTCATATTAGATTTTTTGTTATGAAGCAAATGGAAAATAGCACATTAATATCTTGAAACCATGTTGATGTGAAAGGTGGAAAAAAAAAAGACCATTGGTTTTGGAGGGAGGGAAGATAATTTACAAAAATGTGAAAGTGGACGATTTGTTTCTTAATTTGAATAGATTGCATTACATTCATTTTTTATCTAACCTTTAGTTTTTTTCTTAAAACTAAATATTTTGAAGTTGTATTCACCTTGGACCTGTGCTGAAAATTGATGGGCATGTTGACTTCTTTCTCCCAGGAGACTGGCTCTGAGACGACCAGAAATATTGGTTCAGCCCCTTAAAGTTTCCAACAGGAAGTCATGTAAGTTTGTTAATAAGAATATAGAGTAACCAAACCCTGCTGTTTCTTTTTTACTATTAAAGCAGGTGCTCGTGGCAGAACAAAGGTTCCTATATTACCCTAGCAATAACTTTGGGATCATCATTTCTCAGGAATAAACAAATAGATTCATATTTGGAATATTAATGTGAATCTTTTGAAGAAAAGGGTGGTTGAGGTTGTTAATAATAAATCCATGACTCACTCTTTAAGAAAGTAACTGCTATTACTCCTCTCTTTGACTTCCAAATGTAGGTATTTTATTAAATGTCACCTAAAATGCAGCTCTTTTATTTTTTCAGACAGGAGGTTTGGGTTAGGTATTCCTTGGTAAATATTAGGGAGAAACAAAATCTACCATTTTCTTTGGCACAAAAGCAACTATGCTCAAGACCAATTGTTCTTAATTCCTGTCTCATCCCCAGATCATTCCGACCTGTAGCCTATCCATTTGGAGTTATCACTGGACTAGATTTAAAACAATGAGAGAAAGACGAAGGATGGCCACTCTATGACTACTGAAAAACATAGTGTGGATTTAAGCACTTTTTTTCTTCTTTCAACCTAACCTTCTGTCAGCTTTTCTTTACTTCCCACCACCCACCTCCTCAAGTCTCCATCCCATAAATTTCCTATTTCACCTCCTCTAGATATTTCATGGTTCTAGGTATTTTAAGAGGAAAAAACGAGCCCTTTGTTTTCAGCATAGAAGTTGTACATTAAACAGTGAAATGACCAAGTAAATGGCCCTGGAATTTTACACCAACATCTGTTTTTAGTATCGTTGCATTTTTCACATCTCCTGTGATTTCTGTCAGTTTGCAGAAGCGTATAGCCCAGGAATCGCATTAGAAGGGAGCCAAACTGTAGTTGAGTATAAATCTCACAAGCAGGCAAATGCTTAAAGTGGAGCACTGATTCAAAAGCCTGCTTGTTCTTGCTACATTAAACCTGGGCACAAGGGAAAAAACCCTTGTCACAGAATGCTGCACATCTTCTGACATCAGAAAGCTTAAAGCTTTCGTGAGAACATCGCGTTGTTCGTAAGCATGGTGACTTTTCAGAACATGGCGTTGTTCGTAAGCGTGGTGACTTTTCACTAGCCAACTTACCAACAGAAAGGAGTTTTGACGTATCCACCTGACTTGCTTTTAAAGGGATTTTTAAATAGGGGGCTTACACATTTCTAATATATTTGGAATATGTGGGATAAGATATGTATAACTTAAAGATGAAATAAATATACTTGAATCTGGATCATCTCTGAGTCCTAGGCAACTTAGAAATTTACTGTTTAATATTATTATGAATTTACATTGATTCAAAAGTTTTGATAAGTGTATATGTGTTTCTTTAAAAGAACTATACAAAAGGGATACATTGCTTTTTAATAGCTCTTCCAAACTGGTTTCTCTATAGCATATGAAGGTGAGGGGTGTGTGTGTGTGTGTGTGTGTGTGTGTGTGTGTGTGTCTGTGTCTGTGTGTGTGTGTATGTAGAAGTATTAATTGTAACAGAGTCATTTTGTCTGTTGATTTGTATAATTTCTTTTTTATGTTAATATTGCATCTGATAAATGTTTATTCTAGCATTTATCTTTACTGAAGTGTCCTCATTTGACTAATTTGGTTTTTTGCCGTTTCTGCCTCTTGAATTCCATTCAGAAATGTTTCCTGGTCCTCCTCTCTTTCTTTCTTCTCTCTCTATCTTTTTTATTAAACTAGCTTTTGATTCAAACTGAGACGCATTATTTGTTTTTATATATGTTATTTATTTTCAAATAAATCTGGTCAAAATTATCCTTATTAAAGCATAAGCATCTAACAAACATGGCCTTGTTCAGAGGGACAATATATTTCTGTGACAATTAAATTAAGAATTGAAATTCTACTTGAAATTTTCTTGAATATTGTCTCATATAAAGTTAAAAATTATGCATAAATCATTGTATTGATTCTGAACATTTTAAATGTCATTTAAAAGCACTTTAGCCTATGTTTTGATGATGATTCTTTACATAACTAAAACTTGTAAAGGCCATCTGATTCACTACTTCCTGGATTTCAGTATTTGGTACTTAGGGTTTTAGAATACTTACATTAAATGGAAACTTTCATTATCATGCCCTTTGCTGAATTATAGGAAAATGCTATGAAGAAAAATGGCAAATTGGCATAAAATCTTTTGTTTTTATGATTTTGAATATTAATAGAATAGGGTTTTCTAAAAAGTTTCTGATTTAATATAAAATTTTTAAAGGAAGAATAATTCTAACACGTAGAAGTTTATAAATTTATTTTTAAAATACAATGATAAAAACTTTCTCCACTAGTTTTTACAAGTGTACTTAAAACCTAGGATGAAATTGTAAATATCAGATTTGAATTAATGAATCTAGTCATGTAATAACATTTACCAAATTAGCCAGTTAACTTTTTTCACAAAGTGATTGCTTGTATTACTCTTTTTCTTATTCTCTATTTTGCTCTTTATTTTATTTGTAGTGTATCACCATGACTTAAGTTTGCATGGAGGAAAAGTTCATGGAAGATGGCTCTGGAACTATAGGGTTTCAGTTAATATCAACATAGAAGTAAACAAGAAAGGGCACATCCCAATCTTATTATCTTTGCATATTTGTATTTGTGCTACAGCTCTAGTTCTTGGCTCCAAGGTAAGTAAAATCAGGAGCCATGATAATAACAAGCGCTGTAGGCTTTAAAACTAACCTCCTTATGCAAAATTCATAAGTGTAAGTCAGATTCATTTTTGATGCTTGGTTATTTCTTCCTCTTAAGAATCTTGGTGTATCTAATATCAACCCAGAAGAATAAAAAAGTCTTTCAAACCAAAAAAAAAAAAAAAAAAAGATTACCTCTTAAAATAAAAAATTCCTGAAAACTAAAACATGAACTCTTAAACCTAAAATCTTTCTAAGTCTTAGTAGCTGGGTATAAGGACTTGGGTCCTCCTCTTTCTCCTCCTCCTATTTTTTGGAAGAATTGCTTATCCAACAAAGATATTGGTAATGGAAATTTGTTTCCCCACTCTCCATCATCTAATGATAGGTTCCCACATAATGGATTTGTATTAGTAATGCAGACCTTGAAGTCTGATAGATTTTCTTTTAGATGACTAGCTTTTAGATTATTACATAAAAGATGTAGCTTAAGTGTTCTGGAAATGAGTAAAACTGAATCTTATGTCCCAGATAGCATGTAGGAGTAGTTTTGCTTGACAGAAACTTGGCAGCTTGCATTTCTTGTGTCAATATAATTTAAAGTACTCTAATTTTCTTTCTAAAGCTTCTTTTTATAGTTTGGTTACATATATTACCTATCCGTTAAGAAAGAAATATGAATTTTTTTGAGGTATTGTTTGTTTCTTTTCTATTGAAATCTAACTATGAGTTAAGAATTGTCTTCCTAATGACATAAAATTAATTTAACTTTAACTTCAATAGGATGTAATTTATGTTAAATATTTAAATCCAGTGTATATCGTCTTCAGAAAGGAGCAAGAAAAAGCTCTTATCCATGTAATATATTTTACAACAGAATATTCAAGCATAATTTTTATAGTGTTGTTTCCTTTTGTAGTTATCAAAGCATAAGAACCTAAAAGTGTCTAATATTGCTGACTGAACTGCCTTAATTCAAAATTTTTGTTTTATAAAATAACTCTTAAAGAATTTTTGTAGTCAGATAGAAATGTATAATTTTTCAACCATTTAAAGATTAGAAAGCAAAACACAAAATATTTTGTTGTAGAATTTGTTTTAACCGGTTATGATTGTTATTATGCAGGTAAAAAGAATTTGTTTTTTTTTGTTTTTTGTTTTTTTGAGACAGAATCTTGCTCTGTCACCCAGGCTGTAGTGCAGTGGCACAATCTTGGCTCACTGCAACCTCTGCCTCCTGGATTCAAGCAATTCTCCTGCCTCAGCCTCCGGAGTAGCTAGGAATACAGGCGTCCACCACCATGACTGGCTAATTTTTGTATTTTTAGTAGAGACAGGCTTTCACCATGTTAGGCTGGTCTCAAACTCCTGACCTCGTGATCCACCTGCCTCAGCCTCCCAAAGTGCTGGAATTACAGGCATGAGCCATCACATCTGGCCAAAAGAAAATATTTAACTGAAGCCAACGGGTATCCATTTAAGCAAGGTGTAACCTAGTTTATTTGAAGACAAGCATTTGTCAGTTGATAATCACAATAGGCAACAAATGAATTTAAATACTGAGTAAAAAAACTAATTTACTGCACATGGTACCAATAGTTTGGAAGGTCCAACAGTTAAAAATAATATATCACAGGACGCTACAAGTCATTGTAATAAAGCTCTTCAAGTTGAATAAGCTCCTTCTTCCTGGATTCTTAAGTAATTTTATTTGTCGCTTTCACACATAAAGTTAATTCAAAAACAAATACGTTGCTTATGCCGTTACATGAAATTTGTATGTCTAAAACATTGTCAAATATTTTCTTAATATTGGTGGGGTCTTGTATAAACAGAAACACATGGGATTTTAAAAAATACCTAATGTATTTTTTCCCTAATACTAATACTATTTGGAAGATGCCAGAGTTCAGAGTTTGTGTGGAAAGAGGTGTAGATGGACTAAGTTGTAAATTTCACATCCAGTCACTTACATCACTAGGTGCTTGAGGTTCAGAGCTTCTCATTGTTACTGCTCATGCTTAATCTCAGTGAACTGTGTTCTCCTGGTATGCCTGAAGATGTTGCTTCTGAAACACTCTCAGGGTAGATACTTCTAGTCCTCCCATAGGAAGGGTTCTCAGCCCTATTGTCTCTTGTATTTTGTCCTGGAGACCCAATGCCATGCAGGTTAGAAAGCGTTGGTTAACTCTTAGGGGTCTGATCTGTGGTTGTGGATTATTGTAGACTTTTAGGAGGGATTGCAGTAGAGGGTGAGACATTTAGGAAAGTGGTTTTTAGTATGGTAATTTGCCCATGTGAATAATAGTACACTAGTATAGACACAGTTTCTCCACTTGTCAAAGAGTATCACACATGTGCCTTGCAGAGTGACATCCAGTGGAATGGGACATTTACTACTGTCCACTGTGCAGTGCCCACCACTTGCTTTTCCCAACAACCTTTCTATTCCATTCTCTGAAGACAGTATGTTTATCTCTCTCTTAAAAAAAAGTTTTTCTTTTTTGAGACAGGCTCTCACCCTGTCATCCAGGCTTGAGTGCAGTGGCACCATCATAGCTGACTGCAGCTTCGAAGTCCTGGACTCAAGCAATCATCTTGTCTCAGCCTCCTGAATGGCTGGGACTGCAGATGTGCACCACCTCACCCAGCTAATTTTTAAAATTTTCTCTAGAGATGGAATCTCGCTATGTGGCTTAGGCTGATTGCAAACTCCTAGCTTCAAGTGATCCTCCTGCCCTGGCCTCCCAGAGTTCTGGGATTATAGACATGAGCCACTGTGCTCAGCTACATTCATCTTTGTGAGACCTTCTTGGCCTCCCCTTTGTGATTTTCTGACTTTCCTCTCCTGCTCTAATGTGCTTGAAGATAGCAGATGGTGGACTCTTGATAACACTGGGGAGAGGAGCTGGCCCTCCCCAGCTACTCCTAGTGGGAGACTCTCCCTTTGGATATTGAAGCTTTGGGGAGGGATGGGCTGGTGGGGTAGTGGGAGGTCATGCTAAGTTGATAGGAAACTTGGAAGAAACATCATGTCCCTCGACCTCTCTCCTGCCCATTTCTAGGGAGAGACTTGAGTAATCAAAACATGGTTTTTCCATGATTAGCATAGCATTGAATTAAAAACTCAAGACTCGAGCCAGATGGCATAGATCCAAATCCTAATTTTAACATGTACAAGTGGTATATATATTTTTTTTCTTTCTGATTTGTTCTTGAGCTCTCCCTAGGGAGTGGCTATATACTCTAGCTCTGCCCTGATGCTGGGGAGGTGGTCGTTGCTATCTGCAGTGGTGCCTTCCATGGGATACTTCTTTCTCCTGGTGGAAGGCCTAATGCCTAAGTGTCCACTTGTGACCAGATATCCCCTCTCACAGGGACTTGATTATATTGACAGACATCTTGGGGCTCTTGTCTGACCTGTGTCACTCACTCTCTAGGAATGTCCTGACCAGGAAAAACCTAGATTCAGGCGTGTCCAGCAGGTGAGACACAGAGGAGGCAACATGAAATAGCAGGAGCGCGTGAAATAGCAGAGGCAGTGTATTGCTTACAGATCCTGGACAGGAGGGCAGCATGCCTCACAGGGCCAACAGGAAGAGGGGAGCTGCCTGGGATACAGATTCAACCAGTGTGTGGGGAGCAAGAGAGATGAGGGGGCCAAAACCTTCACTGGGGTCCAGGGCATTACCCAAGCAAGTTTTCCTTCTGGGAGTTCTAATTAGTGGGTGTAAAGAAAGCAGGCATGAGTTCCGTGGAGTTATGCTGTGACTGCGAGGTGGTCACTGCAGCATATCTGCATGGTCCACGTGGGGTGTAGAGTCAAATAGGCTGTATTTTTATGTCCTATAGCAAAGTGGTCACCAGCAGGCAGTCGTATGAAGCAGATTTCTGGATGGGCTGCCTTGAAGAACTGGAAGGAGGCAGAGAGCTGAAGCTATGTCAAAGGTGACTAAGCCCTGTTTCTGATATGAGAAAGTTAAGCCTAGATTCACAATGGATGTCAAAGCAACATAAAATTATGAGAATTCACTATAGGGTTCTTTCCTATCTGAAAAAATGGGGATGATAGTGCTGACCTCATAGATTGTTTGGGAATTAAATAATTTTGTGCATTTAGTGTACATAGAACAGTGCTTTCTATATAGTAATAATCACACAACTGTCCCAACGCTCTTCTGAGATCAACCTTTTCTATAATTTTTCCTCTTTGTTCAAACTTGCTAAGTCTAAGATATTCCGTTCCTTTCCTTTTCTTACTGGATGTTTACTAAGCATGATACTTGCTACTGAATATATGTGTGGGATTGTATCAGTAATATAAAAAATATTCTCTTCCTACTTAAAAATTTTACAGAGAAACATTCTTTTGCAAATTCATATGGCATATTCATGACATTTTATTAGAATATTACATATATACTATATGTAATATAAATTACAGATTTCTTTGTAAATTGGCATTGGTGTTTTAATTTTTTGTTGGTTTTTGTGATACGGCTTTTATCATTTGACTTCCATGGCGCTAAGTCTTTAATTGAGGGTGCAGTATTCAATCTATCCTATTGGTTCTATCAAAAAATAGACTCTATGCTTAACAACCCACTTTATGATGGAGTATATGAGATTTCAAAATGATCCATCCAATGTCCATCATGCCTAGCTGTTTGCATAAACCACATCACATAGTTTATTCTTTGTTTTCTAACAATTTGTTTTAGATCCACATGACAGGTAGAGCTACTAAGACATGAGCATAAATAAAGTCACAACTTGGTGATTCAAAACACGAGCCTGAATAATAATTATTTGCTTGTGATATTTGCTAATACTGGTCAAACCAAGTCAACATAGTTTAAGGATCCATAGGTATTTGGAAAATAAAAATACCATGGTATACACTTTTCTGGAAGTGTTTTCTTTGGCCACTATTCTGTAGCTTGGATGGACAAGGGAGAGGAGAACTGTTCTGATCACTCCTGTTTCCTCTGAGGCCATGTAGTGAAATGCGTTTTACCTTGACTCATAGTTCGATTCGCCTCCGCAATATTGCCAGTACTTTTCCACCCTTAACTTACAGCGAGTCTTTGAAGCCCTATTTAACTTTTAAATTGCTATCCTATTAGTAATTTAGGAACTGTTTAGGATTACTTTCTAAAATGCCTTTCATCGGATAATATAGACAGAAAGAAAAGAAATGATTCTGCATAACTCATTTGATATGTGTAATTACATTGATAATTGTCAGGTTATTGTTAAATGTACAGGATATTTAGATATGTTAAGGACAAAATTTGTTGTTTCTAAAATCCTTTCTTCTTTCCACTATTTTTGTCAAGAAATTTCTTTTAAGTATTGAACAGATTGATTTACAAAAAAAAAAAAAACCGTTCTATGAAAATAAATATCCCCTTATTAAAGATAGTATTTTGAAAAAAATGCTAAAGATTTATGTTCTGGTTATTTTTCCCATTTGGTTATTTAATAAGCTATGTAAGGACTATGTTTTGACAACTCAAGTGTATGCATTCTTTTTAAAACAAACCTGCAGTGCAGCCTAAAATGTAGTTTTACATAAATTCTGTTTATTTGTTGACTGATAATTTTGAAACATTTAAAATACATTTGTTTTTTCTTTTGGCTTTTCTAAGATGAGGAAACAGTTGAGTGTGGTAGGTGGATTTTTTTTTCCCTTGGGTGCAACATCTTCCTATTTTAATTGTATTTTCTGCACATGTAATCATTTCCTTTCTCATTTTCTTTGTGCTTCTCAGAGGAAATTAAAGGTACATGTATAAGTTACCCTGCATAGTCTAGTAGTTCTATTTAGTGCGCATATATGTGGGATTAAATGGAATATAGCAAGCAACTTATAAAAATACCCTGTTGTACCTCTAAACTTCCATCTTGACATTACAATACCAAAAATTGTGGTTAGACTTTGTTTTAAAGAGAGATATATGGTTTTTTTTCTTTATGCAGCAGAAATATAGAATGTAATCTGAAATAGTACATTATATTTTTCTTCTGTCAGTAGTCTCAAATATGAATGAAATAAACAGTATTCAAATACATTGACAGACTTATTTTGACTTAGGGTCTAGGGGCATCTTCTCAATTATTTGAATTTTGTGCAGTCTATGCTGCTAGTTCTAGAAAAAAGAGGCCTAAAATAATAAGTACCCAACTACTTAAATAAAGTTTTTAAGATACTTACAGCCCAGTATTTATTTAACTTCAAAATACTAGCACATTGCTTACTTTACAAATGTTTTTATCAGTTTTTTTTTTTATAAAAGCAATATCATTCCCATGTTACTTCCCAACTTGAAATCTCTACTTATCAATAGGAAGGACATATTTTCATCTTTACTTTTCTGTCTAATCCAATGAGCCAAAATAAGTGCTGTATTTTTACCCATTATCAAAAAGTCTGATTTACACAAATAAATTTACTTTGGGATCAGGTGGCATCATTTTCTTAACTTTGAAAACATAGGCTGGGCGTGGTGGCTCATGCCTGTAATCCCAGCACTTTGGGAGGCTGAGACAGGTGGATCACCTGAGGTCAGGAGTTTGAGACCAGCCGGCCAACATGGCGAAACCCTGCCTCTATTAAAAGTACAAAAATTAGCTGGGTGTGGTGGTGTGTGCCTGTAATCCCAGCTACTCAGGAAGCTGAATCAGGAGAATCACTTGAACTCTGGAGGTGGAGGTTGCAGTGAGCCGAGATCGTGCCATTGTAATCCAGCCTGGGTGACAAGAGCAAAACTCCACCTCAAAAAATATTTATATATATATATCAGAGAAGTCGTGTATAATTTTTCTTGGAACTGTATCAGAACCATCGAAGAAAGTTGGGGGAATTAAAAAACAACAACAACAAAAAAAAACCGTGCATGATATTTCAAAATATCACTTTAAACTTAAATATAAAACACACTGTTTTATGTTTAAGAGTGGCATTGCGAGGGCTGTTCTATGCTGTGCTTTACCTAATTGTTTTAAGTGGTTTATTTTTTGCATCTGCGGCTGGCCGTCTAACTGTTCTGCTTTATTTCTTGGCTTTTGTTCTGTATGCTTTTGCACTCCATCCAGAAGATGCTGACTATGCTGGTAACAACAGTGGAACCTATATAGGTGAGCACTTGGCCATGGAAGAGGATCTCTTTCTTTCTGTTGCTTTTCTTGAAGTCATTACCTTGTTTTATCTGAAATGAGCGCATTTGCACTCGCATGCTCTGAGGTTCGGTGGGGGTGGCATGTACCTTCACGTTACACAGGCTCAATGGGCTGGACACAAAGGGTTTCCTAGTGTGCTTTGGTTATTATATTCCAGAAATGTTCCAGATGCCCCATCTTTATATTATCTAATGTATATTTTTATATAAAGTAAAAATAATTGTATAGTTTCTGATAGAGAATGAGAAAGCATCCTATTGGCACTAAGCAGTTTTATGCAATTAATGGCATCTGGACTTTTCTAATTGCCTGGTTAATTGTGAATTATTCAATACTTGTAAATAACCTTTTTTTTTCCCAACAACTTTCTGCTTATTTTTTGTTGTCATTGTTACCGTTTTGGAGTTGGAGTCTCACTCTGTCGCCCAGGCTGGAGTGCAGTGGCACAGTCTCAGCTCACTGCAACCTCTGCCTCCTGGGTTCAAGCGATTCTCCTGCCTCAGCCTCCTGAGTAGCTGGGATTACAGGCATCCACCACCATGCCTGGATCATTTTTGTACTTTTAGTAGAGATGGGGTTTTGCCATGTTGGCCAGGCTGGGTTCAAACTCTTGACCTCAAGCAATCTGCCCACCTTGGCCTCCCAAAATGCTGGGATTACAGGCATGTACCACCATTCTCAGCCATTTTTTGTGTATGTTTTCTTATGACATTATTCCCACAGTCCCTCCTAAGCAAACATTGACTGAGCAGCCCCAAATATAATGAAGCCTTATGACCAACTTTCTACTCTGTATTGACAGAAAAAATTTCTAGTTTGGAGATGCCAAGGGTTGTTATATGCAAAAATATCTAGAAATTGCTCAAGGCATTAAAATGATCTTCCCCAGTGTTTTACTTTCAAACTTTCCCACTCTTGCCACATACAAGCATTATGATAAACTCTCTGCTTTTAGTAGTGAGAGCGAATGAATGGTATAGAAACAAACTTTTATTTTATTATTATTTTTTGGGATAGGGTCTGGCTCTGTCACCCAGTATGGAGTGCAGTGGCACGATCTCGGCTGTCTGCAACCTCCGCCTCCCAGGCACAAACCATCTTTCCACCTCAGCCTCCCAAGTAGCTGGGACTACAGGCCTGCATCACCATGTCTGGCTAATTTTTTTGTATTTTTAGTAGAGATGAGGTTTCACCATGTTGCCCAGGCTGGTCTCAAACTCCTGAGCTCTAACGATTCACCTGCCTTAGTCTCCCAAAGTACTGGGATTATAGACATGAGCTACCATGCCCAGCCAGAAACACATTTAGAGATCAGCGGCTTCAGCTCTCTTATTTTAAGATTAATAATTATGTATGATGATAATATTTCCTGGTTATTGAAGAAATGCACCAGAAACGGTATTTGATATTTACTGTGTATTATCTCTAATACTGTGAGGTTAGTGATATTGCATTTATTTTAAGAAAAGGAAACAAAGGGCTAGAAAGTTTACAGTATTTACCTGAGGGCTCAAAGATGGTAAATGGAGCATCCTGAAGTTACATCGCCATCTGCCGAGACAGAATATTTGTACTGTATCTTTTATAATTGCTGCCCTTTGATTTTTCATTTTACAAAACAAACTAGAAAACCCTTTGCAGACATATGGAGTATTTCAGTTTCTAGGCTAGAGAAAATCTACTTAAGTAAGAATTGGATGATGAGAGAGATTTTATTAAAATTATAGTAATTCTTTACTCATTTCAGAATAATACAGTGTACCGGATACCCTGTACATCCATTAACACCTCTCTGTCCATTACCGAAAACTGTAATGGCTTAAAACAGAAGCATTTATTCTCATGATGCTGTGGTCAGCAATGTGGTTCTTCTGGCCTGGGTCAGCTTGGTGGATCTGTTTAGTCTGGGGTCTTGGCTGGGGTCTGGTTGGTTTGGGGCTGCTCAGGCAGGTGAACTTGTTTGTATTTCATGGAGTCTTTCACATTCTGCAAAGCTAGCCCATGCAGTGGTCTCAGAGTTCCAGAGAACAGCAAGAGAAAACAGTCTCCAGGATGTAAATGCTCAGGAAGCCTCTGCTTGCATAAGATCTGCTAATATCTCATTGGATGAAACAAACTTCATGGTCAAGCCAGGGTTACTGTGGGAGGAGAACCCCTGAGAGCGTGGGTACAGGGAGGTGTGAAGACATGGACGGCCATCACTGCACGCCTCTACTTCTCTCAGAAATAGAAAGAGTGGTACCTACTCCCTACCTTTGAGGGCTTATAGTTGGTCAGTCAGACAGCAGGGACTATTGATAGCTGTGGCCTAACACACTATCTGATGACTGTCACATAAAATGCTGCGATTTAGAAAAGGAGGTGATCATCTCAGCCTGAATCAACCAGGGACCCTAAAGGTTAGGCATAATTCCAGTTAGTGTGGGGGATAAAGTAGAAGAAAATAGCATGGAAAGAAATGACTTGCTGAGCACTGGGCATATTTAAGTTTGGTGTATGTAGAAATTTAGATTGGTACTGGATAATGTGAGATCATAAGTGTGAGGCTAAGTAATTTGCATATTTATTAAAGTTTTGCCTGATTTTGTCACTCGGTGTTATTCTTTGTACAAAATTTTGTCCAAAGAACAAAATATGGATTTTAAATCTGTGTCTCTCTTGTAGCATTTAGCAGTTTTGTAAAATGAGCATTTAATCAGTAGATATATTACACACTGATGTGCAGAAGCAAGGGGTGATCAGAAATACAGGTTTCTTGAGAGCACGTAAAGAAAATGAGTTCAGACAAAATGTCATTGAATTTGGCAACATGCAATCACTGATAACATCTGAGAAACATTTTCACTGGAGGCCAAATTGCAAGGTGTCAAGAAGTGACGGAGTTGACAGCAGAAGAAGGATAGCAGTTGAGTCCAAGGCAGTTTTTGTAGTTGAGGATAGGAGTTTTCCAGTGGGAGAGGGGATAACACAATCATTTTGTAGGCAGAGATGATGGAGCCAATGGTAAAGAATTGAATATCTGAAAAAGGAAATAATTAATTGTGGTTCACTGTGAATGATTCAAAGCTTCTAAATAACTTTTTCTTTCAAATATCGATTTGATTATGTTTCCTTATGACTTATTTTCCCATAACTCCTCTAAATAACCATGGCTGAACAGTCCCCAATTTAATCAACCTATGACTAACTTTGTAAGGAAATCTTCAGTTCATAGATGCCAAGGTATGTTATTAATATAAACAAAAGCAAGACTATCTAGAAATTGTTAAAGGCATCAAACTTATCTTCACCTACATTTCTCTTCTTACTTTTTCCCCACTACTGTAGAGAGGTGTCCTGATAAGTTCTCTGCTTTTAGTAGTTAGAGATAATAGTCTAGAAAAACTGTTTTAGTGATCAATTGCATTAGAGAAAAAAGCCCAAATAAGACTAGATTCGGTATAATTAAGACAATGGGAATGTTTAGGTAAAAGAATTTGGCATTAGCAGGTGAAGTTAAGCATACAGATATCCCATGGCCCAGCAAAATTATTTGTTTGGAAAAGGTGGTGAGCTCTGTGCTTCCAAGAGACCATCTACATCACCCAATTAGAGATGAAAATAGGGGACCATCTAAGCAGAATGAGAATAGCATGAATCATGTAATAGTTCATATCAGACTGGTGGCTCATAGATACCCTGAAGGCTCCCAGGCACTCTGCAGACTGTATTTGGACAAAGATCCATACTTTTTGTTAGACCTAGAAATTGAGAAATTTCATATAAAAATTTCTGGCTCCTTTGGCAGAACAAAAGGTTTGTGCAAAATAGGCCCTCATTTCCTGATGATAATAATTAGCTGAGGCAGGGTGAGGTGGCTCATGCCTGTAATCCCAGCACTTTGGGAGGCCGAGGCCAGTGGATCATCTGAGCTCAGGAGTTCAAGACCAGCCTTGCCAACATGGCAAAACCCCGTCTCTATGAAAAAATAAAAAAATTAGCTGAATGTGGTGGCAGGCCCCTGTAATCCCAGCTACTCAAGAGGCGGAGGCAGGAGAATCGCTTGAACTCAGGAGGCGGAGGTTGCAGTGAGCCAAGATGGCACCATTGTACTGCAGCTTGGGCGACAGATCCAGACTCCATCTCAAAATAACAATAACAATAGTTACTATTATTAGCTGAGCTGCGTTATAACTGATTCCTTAATGGAGAGATTAAGAGCACTCAAGTTCATTATAGTCCACACCATTCCTCATTACTTGCCAATTCCAAGATAGATTGTACCATTCTCTTAAAAGTTGTGCTGGTGCTTGTGCTGTAATAGTAAAGTATTTCTTTGTATCCATATTCTCAACCATGGGGAAGTAAAAGTGACTCAAAAGTATTTTGAGAAAAATGGGTAGCATGTTTCTTCAAGGGCTGTTGTGTAAAATGTATTCCTATTGGCAGATGGATGGCTTAAGTTCTTTCTGCCTACTTGGCTTTGATGGGCTTTTAAATATGCCAACCCTGATTATAAAGTATACTATTCACTCCATTCAACTCTTGATCTTAGAAAAAAATAGTTGCATTTCCTTCCTTGAGTATGCCAAAGGGAAAGATATGGCTAGTGTGTTTTAGAAGATGTACATCATGACGGCATTTCTTTATGTCTTCCGGGTCTAAATGCTTATTCTAATGTGTGCAAGAGACAATTCAAGGTTTGTGCACCTAGAAGTTCCTTGAGGTACTGATAAGACAAAGAAACCTAGGAGGATACCTGAGAAGAGAGATATACGATATAAAAAGACTTTTAAAAAGAATACGTCCTTCTACGGCACAGTAATAGGACAGATAAATAAATAGTGTTACTGATAAAAATGTCATCTTTTATGGAAACACTTTGACTACTGACCAGAGATTTGACATTAGTTCTTTTGTAGAATAAGCAAGTTTGATCGTGGTCTCTCATTTTAAAAAGCATATATTGCTAAAAGTTG